GTGTGTGTGTGTGTGTGTGTGTGTGTGTGTTTGTGTAGTCTCGGGCTTTGGAAAGTGGTGGCCAGGTTTCACAGCAACCCACAGCAAAGCTACTCTGCAGAATTTGAGGTCAAAGAATACGGTGAGTCCCTTTTCACCCGAACTGTTATTTACTGTAAAACCTATAAAGCATTCACCTATTTTGACCTGATGTTGGACACAAAATAAAATGTATTTAATTTATCAGTGCTGCCCAGTTTTGAGGTGAAAGTGATACCTACGAGCTCCTTCTTCTACGTGGACAGTCCACAGCTCACCATGGACATTAAAGCTACGTATGTGAAAGTTTTACTTTGTGGCTTTGGACAACAAGTTTTAGTAGACGTATTGGAGGAGAAAATAAATAATGTTTTTAAGAGGTTGGAACTCTTGCTGTTGTAGTTTGTTAAAATAAAATGTCCTTCTCTTGTGGCTTTAGGTATCTGTTTGGTGAAGAGGTGGATGGGACAGCCTTCGTGGTATTTGGTGTTGTGCATGAGGGTCAAAAGAAGAGTTTTCCCGACTCCATTCAGAAAGTGCAGGTGAGCACACGGGGGTGACTGCAGATGGTTGCAACACTTTTTGCATTTCTCTCAATTAGTCAAGAGACTTTTTGTTCTAGACCAACGAAACATTTGCATATTAAACTTTCATCGTTTTGCTAATTTCCCATACACCCATACACTAAAATGATTACATATGACACATCATTACCCAATATTTATTTGAATGGAAGAATTCAGATGATGCAACTGATCCCAACCCAGGGGACAGTTGAAACACAGGTCAGGGATGGTTGCAACATATTGAAAATACATTGAATTTCACCAATTATCTCTTGCTTTTGGTCTCAATAAGAGCAGTATTCTGTAAATATGCACTGTTTTACAATATTATTATTATAATATTCATTTATCAAGTGATATTTATCAAAGAACATATATTGAGCTTTGTTTGCATAGAAGAGAGGCCTACCTTGTGTCAAAATAGGCACAATTTATCAATTTTATTGCTTATGATGAACAGAACAGGCAAATATACTATAAGACCATAAGAGGCTAACAAAATAATTCACAAAATAAGTTGTTTGTATTCTTTTATATGTATGTACAGTATGAATAAAATACAGTTCATGAAAAAATTACTTTCATACCTCCAAAACAAGTTTTTACATTAATACATGCAGCAGCAGAAGTTGAATGTGTGTCAGTTTGTTGGTCATTCTGTCTCATACAGTATGTGTTTTACAGCTTGGCTTTTACCAGACCTACAAAATATGCAAGACTATAAAGACTTGAAAATGTTTAGGATTTCCTATTTTTCAGATGACTGCTTTTATTTCAGTTACATTGTTACAGCCCTATCTGTAGAGATTAAGTATTTATGATGTTCAGAATGTATGTATTTTGTACCTATACCTGTTTGCTGGCTGTGTTACTGTGCCACTATCCTCTATTTCAAGGTGTATTTTTGTGTTATGTCAGATCCAGGACGGTGAAGGAGTGATCGTACTGAAGAGGGAGCACATCACACAGACCTTTGACATCAACGTCCTGGTGGGGAGTTCCATTTTTGTATCTGTCAGTGTGCTGACGGAGAACGGTAAGAAACAGACTGTGTGTTAGTGACTGTTCAGTATATTTGATCATTTGTTATTCATAATAATTCAGCAGCTCAAAGGGTTTATTCAGTATTACTGATGTCTAAATGCTTCATAGACTTCATATCAGGAAACGTACGTCAGAGATGGAATGGACATGTTTTTATTAATCAGTTTATCAAGTGAATGAACAAATGAAAAACACACTCCTGTCATCAGCGTGTGTGTGCATGTGTTTGCGTTTCTGCATCAACTCACAGGTGGTGAAATGGTGGAGGCAGAGTTGAGAGGTATCCAGATTGTCACATCACCTTATACTATCCACTTCAGGAGAACGCCCAAATATTTCAAACCAGGAATGTCCTTCGATGTTGCGGTAAAGTACTTAGATTTACATTTATGTAAAATGGCAGCAACAATATGGCTGTATTTCTACTTTATTAAAAGTCTTTTCTAAAAACATCCTAAAAAAATTTCATACCATATTTTTAGAATTTATTTACTTTTCAAACGCCACATGCAATTTAATGCTCTCTTAGTAACTAAAAATAATTAGTGCAGTGTTTCGATCTGTTATGGATCTTCATTATGATGCAAAAATATTCCAGGGGAAAAGTAGAAGTATTGGATCACTGTATTTTATCTAAGTCATAATACTTAATGCACAGCTAGTGCAGTTTGTAGACAAAATTATTTAATTGCCTTTACTAAGACGAGATTAATTGAATGACTTTATAAGACAGTAAGATGTTTTCTGATTGGTCAGATGTTTGTTTCTTTGATGGCAGGTTGAAGTTATGAATCCAGATGAAACTCCAGCAAAAGGTATTGCGGTGGTGCTGGAGCCAGGCGCTGTGAAGGGTTTCACTGCAGCCAACGGCATGGCAAAGGTTACCATCAATACAGTGGCAGGACTCTCAAGTCTGCTTATCACTGTAAGTCTCCAATTTTTCTTTTTCTTTTTTTTTTTTTGAGGGTGGTGGTGGTGGGGTGGGGTTTGCAAGAACCTACAATTGTATCATCAGAACGTTTACAAAAAGTACAAAGGTATATAGTATCTTAATAAAGACATTATGAAAAAGATGACAGTGACATAGTGCGACAGGCACTGAGTTCAAAGGTAGGCCTTTAAAACTTGGCCGGGTACACCTCAGCTGAATTCAGATTCTGTCAATTAAGCCCAGAAGCTTCTAAAGCCCTGGCAGCGCTGTAATTTTCCAAGCAGTTTCAATGCATCATCAACTTAGTCTATGTAAATGTCTGACCAACTGGAATTGTGATATAGTGAATTAAAAACTAAACAGTTTGTCAGTAAACAATTGTTTGGAAAAATTACTTGTGTCGTGCACAAAATCCATAGATGCCCTCACAGACTTGGGAAAACTTAAGTTTGATAACATGAACTCTGTGGAGTGGTTAAAAAAATAGCTTTGATGACTTTGACTTAAGTGTATCTAAACCTCTGACTTGTGTGTATGCTTACTTGTGTGTGTCTCTAATTGCAGGCAAAGACCAATGATCCTGATATTTCACGTGAAAGACAAGCATCAGCCACCATGACAGCTCTCCCATATAAAACTAAGAGCAACAACTACATCCACATAGGTAAAGAAAGTCTTGAAATAACATCAGATGAAAAAACAAGGTGGTGACAGCAAAGTATGCACCATGTACAAGATCTTTTCAGCGTTGAACACTCACTACAAAATGTCATTTTTGCAGGTGTGGATACAGCAGAGCTGGAATTAGGAGACAATCTGA